GCGTGGGAGAACCCACACTGACAAGGATTTGTCGCGTGACCCAATCGCAACACATGTAACCTAAAGTAGACCGGTTTGATCTTGTTATGCACATCCTTAATTCACATATATCATATGCAAAAACATTTTGGGTTTTCTGGAAGCCAAAGCCCGATTTTGTCCTCGAAAGAAAAACCTCAATGTTATTCTAACATAAGGAGTGCAGCTGCATATGGTACATTTACACACTCCACATCCCATTCTTCAATCTAGAGAAGACCGTGGCGCGGCTGCGGACGCGAGAAGCGCAGCATCAATAATATAGCTACCTCTGCATTCTTATTAACTATGCCTCCTGCGCATCCAGGCCGCGCCGCCTCGTTTTCGACGATTTAGCGGATTAACCATACATTATGAAACTTTGTCCTTCCCTAATCTCAGAAGAATCAACTGCATACAAAGAAGCAAAATAGAAGAACGAACAAAGAAATTGGAAAAATTGACTTGAACTGATCAAAACAATTTTTATTAAAAGACTACACTTACGTACCTGAATTGTTTTCCCTGCATAATCGACATATGACAAAAGACGTGGACATACTCGGATTGCGGTTACTGCCTAAAAATCATAAATTTAAGCTATCTCAAGACACTTTTGAAAGCGAACCAACTCTTCTGTGTCCGACAAGATCCAGTTCAGTATCCCAATCTTTTCGCATAATTATTTGTGCTGTAGGCCCTTGATTGTTCATAGCACATGGAGCAAAGAGGAACTGACCATCAGGCGACCAATCCAGCCGAGAAAACATTGTAGTTTGGCTGCTCTGGAAAACGCCATACAATTTTTCTTTGATAAATGAATTGAAAGAAAGAACAAAAATAGAGAAAACAGTGTTGTAAAAATGCAGGTTTTGAGTGACTATCCATAGACTTACATTGTAAATATACTCTGACTCAAAGAAATTCTCAACTATCTAATTTAGTGGATTGAATTTCTTCTAACTTTCTTAAAGAAGGGATATTCGTGGAAGTAGGTGGTTAGTTGTGTGGTGAGCTTGACTTGTTGAAAGCAATGGAACGAGAGGTGGTAACCTTTTAAAAATAGGGCTAGGCCACTGATCACATCTCAAACACAGTCCTGACTCGACTTCTCTAAGAAAATAGATCAAATGAGAAGAGTTGAAATGGGAAGTGCGGAGATTTGATTTAAAAAATC